ATGATACAGGAATGTATTAAGGCTGATCCTGATTGATATCAGTCATGATTCAAAGTAAAATTCTTGGCTGTGTATGTAGTTTAGACTCAAGTTTGGATCCAGGCTACACCTTGAGACTGAATAGGATTAATTAATTAGTATTTCAAAACATCATGGCGCATCGTCATGATGTTTCAAAATTATGTTCAAAAGCCCATGTTTTTTCCCAAAAATGGCTAAAAAATCACCCCAATTTAAATTGCACTTTGCAATACATATTGATTAGAGGTAGATGGTTTGAGCAGATTCCAACTTAGATTTTTTGAGTTATGACAATTAAAAATCCCTATACGTTGCCCATGGTTTTTTCAAAAAATGGCTCAAAAATTATCCCCAATTTTCATTATATTTTTTATATATTGATGTTCTTTTACAAAGCAGAAAGTTTGGGCAAATTGCCATTAATTTTAGGAGTTATAGTCTTTTGAAATGTTGTCCATCTTTTGCTAAAATGATATAGACATTGAGTCATTTTTATTTGATCAAATGTACATCATTTTTATACAAGAAAACAACAACAACAACAATAATAATAATAACAATAATAATAATAATAATAATAATAATAATAATAATAATAATAATGATAATAAAACTACCATAGCTCAAAAAGACATTGTAACCACAATTGGATCTAAAATAATATCACCAATAGCTGAAGAGGGGAGACAGCCTACAAGTCACACATACACACTTTGCCACTAAATGTACTCAATCCTCATCCTCTTTGTCTCTTGAAACATCATGTCATCATCAGTATAAGAATGTCACTACTATCACTCATGACAATGGCCCAATACTATATACAGTAACACTATAAATCCTAAAGATGAACATACACATAAAGCCATATGCAGAATGCAAGACAACTTATTGGTTACTGCAGTATTGGTCTTATGCAACATACCTTTTGCTTTCTGTCATTTTAATTTCTGCTCTCTCTTCAGTTATGATCTAGATCACAACTGAAATTGTTCTTAATTGTCTCTAAAAATAACAGTATATAGTACGAGAGCAAATTTATTATAGTGTACTTGTAATAAATGACATCTCCCTAAGCATCATACAGTGATGCTTGATTCCATTCCAACTCATTCTCAATATCAAGACGTGATATCTCAGCTGGAAACAATCTCAAATACTTTAAAAGGAAAAATAACTGGCTGATAGTAAAATGTCAATGGCTAACTTTTGCAACAGAAATGGCATCAACAGGAACTCCACTTATCTCTGAAAGCTAAAGTAAAGAGTCACACAGCATTATTTTATTATACATTCACCTTCTTTTTAAGATCTAAGGGAGTATCTAGGTGTGTCTAGAATAACTTCTTTTGTTGGATCAACTAAAAATTCTGATGGACACCATCTTCTAACATACACCTGCATCTGTGTTGGGAGCTTCATCTTTTCAGGTTCTATTAGAGTATGAGAATAACACCCTCATTATTTAAAATACTGACCTTTCGATAGTTCCACATACATGTCTGCCAGCATATAAATGAATATCTCTATGATCAAGATACACTCTACCAGGTAACCTCCAATTCTTCTTGCAAAATCTCATTCTACACAAATGTAAGTAAAATGATAGTCACATGATGTACTTACTTGTCTAATTCAAGGGCAAAGTCAATTCTTTGTACTCTTGCTTCTTCAATAATTTGCTTCTTAAATTTTCTCACTGGTGTATTCTTAGCAACAATAGACTCCATTAAAGAACGGAATTAAAATGGGAGCAAAATTACATTTACATCATGACAAAATTGCTATTTGCCTAACCTCTGTATGTTAACATGTAATAAAAAATAATTTAATTCTGTACTCTCCTACTTGTAATGCCCTAGCCAGTCTTACACTACAAACTATATATAAGGAAGAGAAAAGATCATGATTGAGTGAAGTAGAATAATTACTTTTGACTTAATAGGTAAATGCATGTCCATTAATGAGACAGCATTTCATATTCCTGCTGATCATTATACACCCTATACACTCTAAAACCAGTAGGTGGTACACCAATCAGTGGAACTAGCTCTTCCTTTAATTGAGCTAATTTGGTTCTCCCATCAATTCTTATCTGTATATCTGATAACAATCACTACAAGTACATTTAGGACTTAAAGTTGATCTAAAATTTAGTAAAAGTATATGGATTTTGAGAAACTTATGATTTTCTCAAAAATTAGGGCCTGTACTATTATGACAGGGTATTTTATCAAAAATGATACCAAAATCAAAGGCAAGATAAAACTGAAAAACCATGACCATTTCATGAATACTTGGTGGTTTTTAAAAATTACTCATAACTCAAAAAAATATTTGTTGGAGGGCTATAGTTTGAGAGAGAGAGAGAGAGAAAGATAAATTGCTGTTAATGTATAATGATTATCAATAAATTAATAAAAATTCTTGTTATTGTTTTCACTGAATCGGATTATTACATTTAAACAATAATAATTATTAAAAAAAATAATTTAATAAATCAGGTTTCAATCTTTGTGTCGTCTTTATGCCTTTGTCAGAAAAGAACATGACAAGGGAAATATGTACTGGAGCTTACTTGAATTATGTAAGAGTCATTATGTGATGACATCAGTAGTATCTTGGTCCATTGCAAGATAGAGGTACATATCAGGATTGAGGCACTAAAGAAAGAAAAAGGGTAGCGAGAAAGAGAGGTGATTAGCAAAAAATTGTAATGGTAATACAAATTTATTACAAAAGTAATGATTTTCAGTAATGGTAATGGTTGTGATAATTTGTTTATCTGAGACATAATGGTGATGGCATTCACGCACATGTACATGTACTTGTGCTTTTCTCAATCAGTGAGTCAGTGTCATACATGTGTAGGCCTGTGACAATTACCATTACAATTACCCAGAAATCCATTGACTTAAATACATGTACATTACATGTATCACTTACCATCATTATGCTTCAGCCAATGCAACACAGCATTAATGTTACTTTCTTGGACATATCCTAAATAATTAAATGTACATGGATTCAATAAGACACCATACTCCCACTCACTTTCAGTACATGTACTGTACACAAAAGCACTATAGTGTGCATTGTGTCTTACTGTTGTTACAATTTTGATAGCATTTATTTGCATTTCTGTTCCCACATTGCAGCAAGTGACAATTAATGTCTGTGATACAACCATGTACTATAAGATAATAATAATAATAATAATAACAACAACAATAACAATGTTAATGCACGTGTATGGTATTTTACAGTTGCTTACTGATACTAAAACTGTGTAACACAAAAAAGAGAGAAGAGATTTGGGAGATCTAGCAAAGGATCGAGAAAGAGAAAAAGTTAGACATATGCGTATGTGTGTATGAGGAGGAGAGAAAGGCAAAGGAGAGAAAGGCAAAGGAGAGAAAGGAGACAAAGATGCACAAGGACAGGAGTCAAGGAACACAAACATGAGAAGACAGAAATATGCAGTACCTATCAATAATAGATACATGCATTGGGAAAGAGAAGAACTGTTTATTATAAACCTATATAACATTATACAACAGCTTCTGAAGCTCGAGAGCCAGAACTCTTTTTTAATGTCACAGTACTGTAACATAGCCACACACTTATTTGGGAAAATTGTAAGTGCATGTTTACATTACATGTATGACATCTTCTTTCCTATTCACAAAGTCATGAGACCCAGCCTCAATTGTTGCCAGTTACTGGACATTCAGTTCAACATTATATGAATTCACCTATGCCAGATATTGATTTAACAATTTCATCACCAGTACCGTCTGCTTGTCCCAGTCAATTTGTGACTCCACCACCATCTTTTCAAGAACCAGCAATTCCTGCATGTGGTCAGCCAATCACTTCTTTTTTTCAACAACCACACAATCCTGTTAAGCAGCCAATAATTCTGCAACCATTCACACCTGCTCAGCAGCCAATAATTCAGCAACCGATTACTCCTGTTCAACAGTCAATCACTCCTCTTCAGCAGCCAGTCACTTTTGTTCAGCAGCCAGTCACTCCTGTTCACCAGCAAATTACTCCTGTTCAGCAATCACTCACTTCAGTACAACAATTGACTGCTCAGTCACACTTTATTCATCAGCCAGTTACTGCTCCATCAGGAACTCCACCTTTGTCAGATTCTCCACCACCACTTCCTCCACCTACATGTATATGTAATTTGCCACCAACACAAAGGCAGTCACCAGTATTTCAAGAGCCGTTACTGCTAGACCCAGATGATGTAGTTCGTAAATATCCCAAGTACAGAAATACATCACAAGCAGGAAGTCCAGCTGTAAGATTAGCTATTGAATCTTATTTTGGCACAGAAATGTTAAGACAATGCACAGTATATGGACTTAAAGGTAATAAACAATTACCAGTAGAGAAAGTTGAGGCCTTAAAGCAAAAGATGCTAACTTTTTATTGAGACAGTACAGTGGAGTTTGAGGCATTATGGACAAAGTGCATTAATGCTATTAATCATCATGCCAGTGGACTTTGGAAAAAATCTTTAATGCATACATGGTACAGTGATGATGCTCTATTGCTGTTGTAGTGGAAAGACAATTTTTAAAAATCAACAAAAGTTATTTATTATTAATAAAAATAATTAAAATGGGTTGGTTCAAGTGGGAGTGGTTTTTACACGTGTACGTACATGTGATTGATTGTGTGTGTTTGTGTGATGATAGAATCTGACGGGAAGCCTAAGAGCGAACTACAGAATGGAAGAAATAGAAAGAAAGGAAGAGGCAAAGGAAGAAAGGAACGTATAAAGCACAGGATTGAATCTTTAAAGATGGAGAAAGATGAATGTCATCATCAGTCTATAGCCCTAGCTGGGAAAAATGAGGAGTTGAAAAGGTTTTAACACTAAAAAGCCTTATATTTACGTGTGCTTTGTATTGATGTGTACCATATATTTATGTGTGCCTTGTATTTATGTGTCTGTGTTTGTGTGTTTAGACTTAGAGCTACTGTAGGAAGAAGGCAGCATTTGACATCTGGACTAGTAAGCTCTGTTTACCAGGGAGGAGGAGCAACAAGGCAATCGGCTGCTAATCCCACTAATATGAAAGCTGAAGATAAATCTATTTTGAATAAGATTCATCAATTTCAAGAACAGGAAGTTATAATTGACAAGACAAATATTATGGGAGATGTACATGTATTTGTCAAGTGTTACTTGTCAACTATTGGGCCACCAAAGTCTTTATATTGTATACAATAAGTGTGGGCACACTTCACTTGTTAGTAAGTCATTTTGTGACTTGTCAGTCAAAATAGCAATTATGCAATTATTAATTTTGTCTTTATAATCATACTTTTGTACTCTTTGACAATTTTTCTTGGTGATGTACCAGTTAAAAGTGATCCCCTTGCAGAAAAATATCCATCAACTTCAGTGCTAGCTAGCATCACCATACTTCCTCCCTATTACAAATGAAGTAATGAAAGTTGCATTTTAAAAGTTTAACTTTTTTGAAGCCAACTTTGGCTACATTAAGCAGTCAGTTAATTTGCAGAAGAAAATTATGTGAATCTCCATGTAAGGTTTAAGCTCATCAAAGCCATCATGTACTCGCTCTAACCAATCATGTACTCTTGCTTACCCGGGTTGCACTTCCCTTTGGCAGTAGAGCTCCCCTCCTGAGTAGCAGGGTTCCCCCTCCGAGCAGTGGGCCCCCATCTCTGGCCATGCCCCTGGCCACGCCACTCACAGGCTTAAGACAGTCCCGAACGGTCTAGTCAGTCCTTTCCTCTCCCTTCCCCTGATTTCTAGGAAGATTGTGGAGGCAGTTCCTGCTGGAGCCTTTGTGGACTTTAAAGACTTGCTGCCAGACAAAGTGGCTTTAAAAGCAGCAGATTGCCAATACCAACATTCTTGGCTCCCAGGCTAACAAAGCCCTTCGTAAGCAAGAGGTGGGTGATGTGGAGACTTGGATACATTGTTTCCTCATATTTGTGGCTGCCAAGGTCAATGATCCCTTAACAAGAGAACTCATGGCCTATGGTCAATTTATACTAATGTTGTCACGTAAACACGGGGTTAGGGGTAGAAGATATACCACAACTATTTCAGGCACTTCGTTGGGGGTGGGGTACCCTCTCCGGTGGACAGAGCTGAATGCCTCAATGATAGCTGCAGACGTGTTCCAGACAGGGGGTATAGGTATGCCCCCTATGCCCAGTCATATGATCACAGGAAAGAAGGTTGTGCCCTAGCCCCACCACCAACCACAGGTGACCGTTGGGCCCACCCATACAGGAATGGAGAGGAACTGTGTAACCGTTTCAACAGGTCGACTGGCTGCTCTTCCTCAAGATGCTGCTTTATTCATTGTTGCTGGAGTTGTGGGGCAGAGGACAATGGTGCTGCTGCCAATGAGTCCACTTGGCCTGTGGCAAGTGCCGCCCGGCTCCAAGTAGTGCACCACACCCACAAGGACTGAGGCCTAGGTTAGGGTGACTGTCTTCTGTATATGAATCAACACTCACTTTCATTGTTCTCTCTGTTATAGTCTTGTATGTCCAACCAGTGAATTTATAGTTTAGAGTGCAAATTTCGATAATTTGGTAATAAGTCAACCTACCAATAACAAACAAAAATTAGCTTTTATTGCGCCATTTTGTTCTTTACAAGCCATAATTAGGTTCTTAATTTGGATTTCTTTCATAATATTCACTGCCATTTTGTCCGTGAAGACTAAAGTTTGGATTTTAGTTGTTTTACTATACTCGTGTCAAACATAAGGAAATCATACCAATTGTGTCAAGAACATGACCAAGAATAAAGCACACATGTGCACATCTATAATCCGCACATGCCAAGAGGGGTGTGTCTTCTTTATCTTCCAGGGCTCTCTGTCTATCTCGTACTAAAACCTGGTGGCTCATATTTTATCTTCTTATCTTCTCCAGGACTTTTTGCTTGATACAGGCTAGAAGCAGACGCTTTTCTAGGTCTCATACTAAAAAAGGTGACTCATACTAGAAGCAGGTGCCTTATATCTCTGTTAACTGTTCGCAGCAATGTCCTAACATCGACACCGCAGCTGACAATCCCTTCAGTCCCCCCTAAGTTGGCGATCCCTTCATTCCCCCTTCCCAGCTTTAGTTTCTTCAACATGACACCTTCATGAACTGATGAGTCTTTTCTAAAATCGGCACTGCCATCTTATGGTAGGAGTGCAGTTTGGAAGCATTACAAAAGGTAATAGACGAAAGGGCAGTGCTTGAATTGAGCATATACGGGAGTAGAGTATGTGTAGGCAAAATGAGACAGTTGCTATTATGGGACAGTTTTTTATTCGGCCTTCAAACTAATATTGCTGTTGTAGTGGTTCTTTTTTGAAAAGATGGGCTTCTTGCTTTTACGTTTTATGTAAATAAAAATAAATAATAATAACTTAACTTGGTAGATTGAACACACCCATAATTTATTATTAGATATAGATCTACCTAAAAATAGAACTGGGCACGTGGCAGGTAACCTCAATTTTTCCAGCCTCACTTGTTTTATCTTATTGGCACCTTGATCTCTTGTCGATAATCACCTCTAATTCTAACAAATTATTGGTAAATTACCCTGTTTATATTTGTGCAGGCTATTATTTTCCATTTTAATAGTCAATGGCTTGCAAGAGAAAGTATTGGTCGCAGCAAGCAATGGAACAGGCAGTGGCTTCTGTTGAATCAGATGCAATGGGATTGAGGGAGGCTGCAAGGTGTTATAATGTGCCTGTAGAAACTCTGAGAAGGAGAGTCAAATGTCTTGTACCAGTCGAATGTAAACCGGGCCCACCAACCGTTCTTTCTAAAGAAGAAGAAGATCAGTTGTATGAATACCTAATAAATATGGCAGACATGGGCTACGGGATTACAAAGGGACACCGTAATGAGGCTAGCTTTTGTTATTGCAGAAAGAACAGGAAAGAAACATCCCTTTACCGCTGATTCAGCCGGGCAGGCGTGGTTGGATGGGTTTAGGAAGAGACACCCCAGTTTAACCATTCGTACGCCACAACCTTTGTCCTATAGCAGAGCAGTGGCTGGAAGTCCAGCCATCATTGCTGATTTTTTTGGGAAACTTGGAGCTTTATATGGTCGGTTAAACTTGCTATCGAAACCCATGAAGATCTATAATGTTGACGAGACAGCAATATCTGTCGT